AAGCCTTATCTACCAGGCTTTGGTATAAAATTTCCCCCCAAGATCTTAAAACCCTAGATCTTGGGAATAAAACTTCCGCTGCCACCACCCAAATGTTGATAAAGAAATCAGGGGAAAGATCATTTGGGAAATCTTACCCCTAAAACAAAAATCAGGGCACACCATTAACCACTGCCAGGGTAATAAAAAGAAAATAAAGAACTTTTATTATTACAACAATATTCCTGTTGCAAGCATAATGACTAGATAGCAGGGAAACAAAATATACTCATGGAGAAACTCTATGGGCCTAGAACTTAGTTACAAAGAAAAGCCAAAACATCTTTAAGCAGTGCCAGATCTCAGATCCCATACCCAATCCTTAAAACAATAAAACCCAACGAAACTACCTAAACTTTACCCTACTTACAGAAAATGAAGAATGGTGTCTTGGAGAGAGAGAGACATGCTTGTCCCTCTCTGTAGCTGCAGAGAACTCTCCCAGAGACAAAAGGGAGAAAAGAAAAAACCCAAATTCCTTTGTCCCAGTTTGAAAAGTCCCACCGACGTTCCTATTGGTCACTCCACCTGGCTAGGTGTAGTTAACCCCTTAATCCCCAGGCTGCTGGCTAACCCTCATAATCATGACAATTCCCTCAGGAAGCTGTGGAAATTATTACTATAATTTTAGCCTTGGAAAATGCTGACCCCCAAGAAGATCTGGCTATCTGCACCGATTCAGATTGGTTGCTCCGATCTTTTATTGATTGGATGGTCATATGGAAAGAGCAGGATATGTGCACGAATGATAAGTGACCTGCCAAGTATGCCCAATTACTGAATTATGCTTGGAGTTTAGCTGAAGCAAGGAGAGGAAGAACTTACCTCTTTAAAGTACGTGCACATAGGAAAGACCAACAAGAGATCTCCTTGTTGAATAATCAAGTAGACCAGCTAGCCAAGCAAGCTGCCATATTAGACAAGAATCTGACCTGGAAGCTGCCAACACAGGTAGAAAAGATTACTGCTGTCAATGATGTCCCACCATTAAAGGACATGGTGGACATTGTAAAGTTACAAAATGCGGACAAAGAGATTATGGCGTTGTTAAAGCAAGGACGGTGTCGGAATAATGTAATCAAAAGACATGAAAAGAGACCTGCGATGGCTCAGAAAGTCGTGGAAGACCCAGAAGGGGGAAGTCGATGTTGTCCACTTCTGATAATGCCAACAGTTCTTAGGGTTGATCTAATGGAATTAGCTCATGCGCAAGGTCATTTTGGCCTAGAGAAGACCCTATCCCGTATAGAGACAGTGGCTTGGTGGCCTCAAATAAGGGCGGACACTGAAACTTACATAAACAACTGTTTGAGATGCGCCCAGAATAACCCAAAGACGGTTAACACTCGTCTCCCTTTAAAGCATCAATCAATTGACGGACCCTGGAGGCGGATCCAAATTGATTTTATTGGACCGTTGCCAAAAACAGGAAAAGGGAACGAGTACTGTTTGGTGATAGTTGAT